GTTAAATGTCTATGTGACATTTTTAACACATTAGTTGGAAATGCTCTAAGGCATGTCATGTATGTGGAGCAAGAGCAGACTAGGTTTGATTGTTTAAAGCGCATATATTGCTTTTGAAGAGAACATACACCTACATTTGGAGTTAAAAGAGCAATTGAGCCTTCCATGAAGGAAATTAACCTCTCTCACCCAACAAGAACGTGAGAATTGAAAGTCACTTAGTCCTTTTTATTTATTTATTATATATATATAATTAATTTAATTATTTCAAAAATAAAATGTTGTTTGCTTCAATAAATGTCATTGAAGTCAAACGGCTAGAGGTCGTTAACATTAAGGCCTCACTGAATTATGTTGTGTATTTATTAATGGGGCGTTAGTTGGATTGTTCTAAATATTTGGTGTGCTCTCAAGTGGTCATGAGTTCAAGCTTCCATAACATCCGTGTATGTCAATTTTTCTTCCTCTCCCTTTCTAACTTTGACCACGCACAAAATCTTGGTGTGTATGCCTTCACTTAGTTATGCAGGGCACGCAACTAAAAAAGCACAAGAGAATCTAATCTCAATTTCCACACATACATGTGCTTAGGAGGAAATTATTATTTGAGAGAATTAATTGAGAAAACATAAGTAGCGTGAGAGATAAAATGAGTGTTAAAATTGAGGTCGAATTACTATAATACTTTTGGTTTTTAAGAATATATACATTATAATCCTCTTTACTTGATAACGATAATTCTCTTATATAATAGAAAAGACAGATGTTTGTAGCTTTCAAACAATTTGATTATCATACATGGTGTTAATATTAAAGATAGAGAAGATACAAGTTATTTCATTCATTCGTACTTTTTAAACATTTGATAGGCCTTCAATCCCTAACAAACAGTCATTATCATTAACATTGATATGTCATTAAGGCAAGGAAATTTTTTAGTATGATCGTAAAAATGCTACAATATTATTAAATCACATGTTATAATATCAATAAATCACGTGTTAATATTATATGACACGTGTCAGTAAATTTTTAAGGAAGGCAAGGATATAGATCCATAATAGGCTAGGAGTGGCCCTGCCCCCTTTCCCCTTTATTTTGACCTCTTTCTCATTTTTTTGACCTCTTTCTTATTTAAAAATAATTAGACATAACTAATTTCGAAAAGTTTAATTCTAATATGCGTTTTAAACACTTATATGTATTTGATATACTTATATTTTCTATCTCAATCCTGCAATTTTACAATTTTAGCTCCACGTGGCTTTGATGATGTAGGTCCCAAAGACGAAATGATAATAGGTCGTCTTTCTCTAGCTACTTATTTTTATTATTTATGCGGAAATGGAATTTGTGGTCGAAAAAAAAGTGAACTGGAAAAAGCAAAGTCCTGCATTATAATAAATGAATGATAATGAGCCCACACGGTTTTTTTTTGAAAGAATAGAAATCAGTTTAATTAGCAGACGAAAGCAAATAAATAATTAATTTGCAGAAACAGAATCTGACATATCTTTGCTAAGCCATTTTCGTCAGACCTTCCAAAAGCAGAATCGGTCACAACCCACGAGCAAAGCAATCCCTTGTTGAAAAGACATCCATAACCCTAAAACCCTCCTCCAAAGCTCTTGTAAAATCCCAAATGATAGGTGCACCAATCAATGCATGTTCATAGATGGATCGTTAATCAACGAATTTGAGTTCACTTGTTTGATTAATCATGTTTAATAATTACATGCTAACTTAATTTGATTATTACTCAATGTAAGGATTAACCGGTTATATGGTTGCAAAATTCATCGAGTAATTTAGAGTATTTACTCTCACACTCGAAACTTCTTTGTTCTATTTTTTTCTTCTTTTCATTTCCTCAATATTGTTTGTATCAAAAGAAAAAACTTAAAACTTAAACCCAGGAAATGAAATTCTACTTAATTTTGAATTAGAGAAAATTCATATCACCGATCTTATTATTCTACGAAGATTACTTGTATTCAACACTAATCTGACCTTATAATTTATGTTAATCAAAACATAATGGGGTTTTAGGCTCATGGTTCATCATAAACAAAACAGAACTGTACATTTTCCTTCTTGTTGCTTTTGAATTTGAATGATGATGATCATTGAGTTCCCAAAATTTGAAAGTAAAATTTTCGACCAAAACAAAAAGAAAGTAAAATTACAAGAATAACACCGGCATGAATTATGGAGAAAAAGTCGGTTTGCACAAACCTGGGGAAGCAGACAAAAACCCAACAGGGGGTGCTTGAATGCTTCACAGCTTTGATTGATAGGAGGAGGCAGGTTGCCAGGTGGCTTCTTGTTAACGTGATTTCTGCAAAACTTTCCTTCGTCCCCATTTGCCATCTTATCCTCTTCACTATAAATGTAAGCCCTCAAGCTCTGCTCTCCCTACCTCCCTCACCAAACACCTCTCACCACTTTCTTTACTTTTTTGGGGTGAAAATGGCAGCTGTGCTCTCTCTTCTGCTTGCATTCTCATTTATGTTCACTAATCCTGCTTATGCAGCTGTACATGTGCCTTTGGATGGTAAAGCTCTCTCTCTCTCTCTCTCTCTCTCTCTCATCTAACCTTCCTCAGTTGAGTCGTTATGGTGAATATCTTGTTCTGATCTGTTTACTGAGCTCTGTCTTTACTGATTTAAACTACTTTAGCACTTTGTTGAACCATGAACTGATCTAGTTTGTTTTAAAGTCTATATTTGCTCAACTTTGTGCTCTCTCTCTCTCTCTCTCTCTCTCTCTCTCTCTCTCTCTCTCTCTCTCCTTTGGTCGTAGTCATGTAGTGTATGTAGGTAAAAGAAGAAAAAAAGGTACATTCTGATTCTGAGCTGATATGCTATACGAAAGTTGGGGTTTTTATATGTTGAGATACCCACAAAGATTTGTTGAACATTCCTTTTGTTTTTGGTTGTTTACCCCAAAGTCAGTCACTTTCTTATCAGTTATCATATCTTTGATCTGCTTATCTTCTTCAGGGCTCTTGAACAATGGCAACTTTGAAGAGCCGCCAAAACCAACAAGCCTCAAGAAAACAGTACTCATAGGCAAATATGCACTGCCCAAATGGGAAATCAATGGCTTCGTGGAGTACATCTCCGGCGGGCCGCAACCGGGTGGAATGTACTTTTCTGTGGCTCATGGTGTTCATGCTGTGAGGCTTGGCAATGAGGCCTCCATCTCTCAAACCATAAAGGTGAAACCAGGGTCTCTGTATGCTCTAACATTTGGGGCATCAAGGACTTGTGCACAAGAAGAGGTTTTGAGGGTCTCGGTTCCTCCTCAGGCAGGGGACCTTCCGTTGCAGACTCTCTATAGCAGCAATGGAGGTGATACTTATGCTTGGGGTTTCAGAGCCACTTCCAATGTAGTAAAAGTGACTTTTCACAATCCTGGGGTTCAAGAGGACCCTGCTTGTGGTCCTCTCTTAGATGCAATTGCTATCAAGGAACTCTTCCCTGCACTACCCACTAGAGGTAATTATAAAAAAACTTATTAACTATGCTTATGCCATTCTCTGTATAAAGAATATATTTCTGTTCTAAATTTTGGATCAATCTGTATTTGGGATTGTTCTTCTAAAACTTGTAGGATCTCTGCAGATTTTGCAGAAGTTTGTTGCTTGATTGTTATCTGGGTTATCTAGATCTGGGTACCCCTGTCCTTTGTGATATATCCAAGATGTGGTTTTTATTGATATGCATCCATATGAACAAACAATGAGTTCGCCTTTCTGACCCTTTTTGCTTCTTTTTTGGGTGAAGAACAATTGAGCTACACATTTAGCTAGCTAAATTGTATACCCTGTGTTCCCCGTTTTCTGAGGCCTGATGAATTATATACCTTGGTTGAGAATTTGAGCATTCAATTTAATCTGAAACAAACTCAGTGCTATAAGCTTACTCTGTTTCCTGTTTTGTGTTTGTTTTGCTTATTAAAACATTGAGTTTCTTGCAGATAATTTGGTCAGAAATCCTGGGTTTGAGGAGGCGCCCCATAGGTTATTCAACTCTTCCCATGGTGTACTCCTCCCTCCAAAACAACTAGATGTGACATCCCCACTTCCTGGCTGGATCATCGAGTCCCTCAAAGCCGTAAAGTTCATCGACTCCCAACACTTCAATGTCCCGTTTGGAAAAGGCGCTGTTGAGCTTGTTGCAGGGAGAGAAAGTGCCATTGCCCAGGTTCTTAGAACTGTGCCCAACAAGATCTACAATCTCTCATTCGTCGTTGGCGATGCAAGGAACGGCTGCCACGGTTCGATGATGGTTGAAGCATTTGCCGGCAAGGACACCTTAAAAGTTCCCTTCACCTCCCAAGGAAAAGGCGGGTTCAAGGCTGCTAGTCTCAAGTTCAAAGCAGCTTCACCCAGGACCAGAATTACATTCTACAGCTCTTTCTACCACACCAGGGTTGATGACTACGGAGCTCTTTGTGGCCCTATCCTAGACCAAGTTAGGGTTTACCCTGTTGCTTAGATTCTAGTTTAGTTATATTATCACCATAAGACTACAATATCATTACAGAGATTGTGCCACGGATATTATTCCTACTTTTTTGTAAATTTGACCGTTGATGAAGGTAGATGTTTTACCTATTTTCGACTAGAGAGAGCTATGTACTTTTCAAATTTAAGAAAATTTGTCCACGTTAAGTACTTCAGGAATATATGAAGTGAAGAATGAGTCAGGTCATTTTCTTTGGCAGCTTATGCTAAAAATAAGAAGCCTTCCTCTTGATCGCATTGAGATTAAGATATATCAAGGGTTTTCGGATGTTTGATGATGTGAAAAATCATATTCCACAGCTTGTTAAGAACCCGGTTGCCCTTGCTAGTTTAGCAGCTAAACTGCCGAGCACGCTGTGATCATAAAAAATACACGTCGAAATTTTTTAAGTTAGATTATGGGGAGATAATTGAATCAGTGATATGCTGTGCCAAACCTGCTATTTAGCATTTAAAATCAAGAGCTTTGTTTAAACATAAATTACTATTTTGATTATTTCAAAGCACAAACCATAGAGCCCTAAGGCACGAATCTTATTACGAAAATTACAATATACAACAGAATCTGAATTTGACAACATGGTACAACAGTGAATGAGAGAGTCTTGGCTCTAGAGTAAAAATGTATTATTTTCTGGTATGATAAAATGATGTTCGCTTGATAAAATTTTAACTGAAAAATAAATTGCTGTACCAATCTGCCTGTATGATGAACAGGCTCAAAATTTCTAATGATTGGAATGTTGCCCGTCGCCATCGTCTAGAGTACCAACAAGACACTTCTCAAGTAAAAATTCAGCATTCACCCAAGCATGGTATTTATCTAGAGTAGTGTAATAAGGATTGCAAAAGTAAATAGCAATTTACAAAAGAGTAAGTAAAAAGGAAGATGGTCCAAAACACATTGCTGATTTGTAGGCACTAGATTCACTTAAGGTTTGGCCAGGCTTAGGAAAACCATTTGGTTGTGTTGTTTCGCTGAATCGGATTTTAGGAATCCTAAACTCATTCCTTGGAATGAAGTGATTAGAAACCAACAGAATCCAACATTCCAAAGGTTATCAGGATACTAGCAGAGTTTCAGTTTTTGAAAGCATAAATATATGGTATGGTCGTCATTATAATTACAAGTGGATTTAGATCTTCTCTTTGTCTTGGTAATCCTTGGTTTCTAGCATAAGTCATTTATTTCCAAAGGTTATAAGGTATTTTGAAGTTTTATTATTGACTAAACAAAGTTGGGGGAACTTCAGAAACGACTTATATAAGAAACCAAAGATTGCCAAGGATTGGATCCAAGTTCAAAGTCAAAACCAGGGAATGGCTTTAGGAGATACACCACTTCCCTTAGAAATGCAAAACCTTAACTTTGTGGCTTGTCCATGGACAGGCCAAACCCAAAGTAATTTGCACTTAACAAAGGCATTCTTAGGGAGGACTAAATCCATTTCCCAGCCTTGATTCCAAGAAACAAATACAACCTTAAAGTATAACTGAGTTTTGGATATTAGTATTCAAAATTTCTTTGGTGAATAAGAAAAGAAAAAATCTGCCTAATTCAACTCTTCCACTAGTAGTAGCAAGTTTTATGGGCAGTTGTTCTCAGAGAACAGATTTGCTCACCGCCAATTAATGCTTGTAAGCAAATCTATTCTCTTGTTCTCACGGAGGGGTCTGACTGAAGAACAAAACAATAAAACCAAAGGTCCAGCAAGAAGTAACTAGGCCAAACATACTCAGGAAATCAGCATAACCATGTAAATTTTAGAAAGGATACTGAATAAAGATGTAGAGTCTTTTCCTACCGCCTTCTTTAGCATATCAACACCTGAAAAAAATAGTTTCGTTAGAAACAAGGAAAGTATGTCATGTAGTTCTTACCAACTAAGGCATACAGAAACTCTCGACAAAGTCAAATATTTATGCTTAGCAGCAGTAAGAACAAACGACCCCGTCACCAAGAAGTTTCTGGGGGATGGATACCAATTGCAATATTAAGGACGTAATCAATTGGTGGTAATGCATTTGCAAATGCTTAATAGAAAATGATTTTGTTAACAACACTGTTCATCAATTCAACCGTTTTGCCTTTCCATATTATCACTCTTCCTAGGTCATTAATGAGCTCAAAACGAGGGTATGCATCCATCAAGGAACTTAAACAAATAGCCCTCATCTTTTTATAGCTAGTCTTCATTAGAAGCAACAAAGAATGCCCAGATTTTTGGCATCGTACTCGTAAATGTCCCACATCCTATTTATCTTATTTTGTCAGCTAAGTTGGCATACTGGAGCAAGGAAACTTCAATAAGAGTGATAGTTGTTGATGTGTAACCCTAGAGCTGAAAACCTTGGAGCCAAGGTCAGAAAGTTTGTTTTAATTTCATTTTATACGTTTTAATTTCTGTTTGTAATGTGAGCCATTGGATCATAGTCGAAGTGGACTCTCTTTCTAGCCTAAGACTTGAGTGCCAGCTAATGACAAATGTAAGCATCTCATAGGATGATAGAAGCAATGGCTAGGATTCAATTTTGATGTAAATCCGTTAGAGAAGCATCTCACTTCTCTCTCTCTGCTAACGATATATTGGCTAGTGGAGTGAAATGAACAGTAATCTCCATTTTTCTATTTTCAGAGCAACATTCTCTTCTTCATACTCTCCCTGTGATCTCTTCCTTCCTCCCAAACATCCAAAATATTCAAAACTAATTACTGAAACTATGAATTCTAACAATAGTAACCCGATAAAACATGCCTATGACAAATAAATACATTTAAAAAATTTGGGTGTCACGAAGAAAATGCAGGTAATAGCCTGCATTAGCAATACACACATTGAATGACAGAACTAAATCCAGTAAACATTTAACTTGAACAGAATAAGATCATGTACATACCTCCAGGGTGAAATCTCATGTAAGGAGACAAATTGTACACACGACCTTTTAGAACAGTCCACATTGAATCCCCTTTTTGGTGTTGTTTAACTTCATGTATTGAAATCAGCCTCTTATTTGACTGTCCCTTTAAACCTGAGACAGAACTCGTATATCAAGAAGCTAACGTTGATCTAACAATGACTGCACTTAAAACAATATGAGAAATCACAAGTTGTTTCCTGAACTTATAATAATATGCGTCATAAATTCACGATGAATAACCTATCTCAGATACATGTTACATACACACTGAAGTAGCTACATTCATTAGCTTCTTTAAGCAGTTCAATGCAGGCACACTAGGTAAATGAGAATCGCTAAGAAAACCCAGAACTTTCTAGCTGCAAGCAATGAAGATTTTGTCAACCAGAAGTCAGAAACCCTCTGGATAATCCAGAAATAATACTACCAGAATACATTGGTTCAGTCGGCCTGAAAATGAAGATACATTGGACAATTGGGTCTGTTAGAGGTCATAGATCCACACACAAAGTAATACGTAGCTCTGAGGTTTGAGCAAGAGATGCACCTCGTCAAGCTCATATTGAAAATAGGATATCATTAACAGCTTTGTGCTTTAAGAACACAATTAAATATTGCTAAACATTTTTTTTTCCCAAAAAGAACAAATTAGGAACCTCAATAAATTCCTGAAGCTAGAATACAGGCCCTCCCAATCCAACCCTTTTCATTTGGAAAAGTTTGAAGTAACTTTCCTTCTATCTTTTGAGAATTGCCTTTAGGATTATCAAAAAATACAAAGGCTTTAAGAAAGATAAGTCAAATGAGTTAGAGTTCGTGATAAGAGATGTAAAAGCTTACAACTAGAGAAGGAAAAAAAACTCAGTAATTATGAATACGTGAGAGCTACCAGAACACAAATGACAAGAAAAAAGAAAATCAAAAGAATGATTGCTGGGAAGAAAAATGCAGTTATGGAATTTGAGAAGCAATTTCAGCCGGAAGCACATGTCACTATGTACCTGCAAGGTCAGGATGTGTTCGAGTAAGCTTGAGCCAATCCATTTGGCTATACCCCTTCTCGAAAGGAACTTTGGCACGAGGTACAGGCTTCACTGACTTCCCAGCACCTCCTGACGATGGTTGTTTTGGTAATTCAGATTTTCGGTTTGTGGATGACGCATCAATAACACTGACAGAAAGAGAACCAACTGTTTCCTGCTTTTCAGAAGTGCCACCTAATGGCAATCCACTTTGCCACAGAAAACCTCTATTCTGATTACTATTAGTGCCATTTGACAATCCATCTTTTATGGCAATATTTTCTATATCTGAAGTGAGCTTCTTTGTCTCAAGACCATCCTGGTTGCCAGGTGAGCCAACCTAAAATATACCGCACACCTTACATTTAAAAAAAATTATGACATGTATAAATTGGACCCAACCAACAATGAATCATATTTCGGAAAAAACAGTCCACTGTAAATGTTGCATTGAAACCAGTGAGCATATTTTAGGGGTATAGCTTTCTTGATCTTGAATGAAATGTGCATATAACAATTACCTGGCAAAAAGTGAAATCATTATCATTATCCATCTGTAAGATGAATGAAGTTCCTACGCTATTTCAACCAAACTTTCCTGCCAAAAGATATTAGAAAACATCACCTTTTGACATCAAAACAATTATGAGATGACTTTTCTAAACAATTATAGTACCATTATTTGATAACCAAAATGAAATGATAAGCAAAAGACAAAATCCACGAAACTGCAACAATTGGAACATTGTTGCAGAGAGAGGAGTACATAAAGAAATGCAGATTGAATGAAACACTGATTTTCTAACACATAAAACCTATTAGGACTCTTGAATACACACTGCCAATTTGTAGGGCTCCAACTCTGGTGTCTATTTTAATATCTATTCTAATTCTACATAAATAGAGAATTACCACAACTAGTAAAGCAATAAGGGCATGCTCAATTCTTCATTCAAAAATACTTGCCACTAAAAATCGTGAAAACAGAAAACAATATGAAAACACGCACCTAAACGAGTTTTAAAACGGTTTAAGGAAAACAAGCTTGGAAACAGAAAAGAACTGAATGGTATTCGAGAATCTGTTTTCAGTTGAAAACTTACAAAAATATTGAAAACAAGTGATAAGAACTGTTTTCTACTACTTTTGAAAACCCAACTTATATTTATATTGTTTTCTAAAACTCAGCCAAACAGGCCAAATGTCTCTTTCTCTCCCTCAAGAGGAAAAAGATAAATTCATAATAAAACATAAAATTCTCAGTAAAGCTTTTTCCTTTAGATATATTAATTGGTTTATTATGAAAAAGATCGGGACTCTTCTAACAGATGCTGGAGATATCTGACCCAAACCAGTGTTTTTAAAGGCATGCCTTCGCGCGCGTCGGCGAGAGCGTCGGAGCGAGGCGACAGGAAATCCCCAGAGGCGGTCGGCTGTTTCACGAGTTGCACGTTTAGCGCGGGGAAGGCGTACGGAGGTGTTGCAAGGCGTGGCCAGGCGTAGCGAGGCGTGCCAGATCTGGACGCTTCTGAACCTGAATAAATTTTGCGAGTATGCAAATTGGCTGCGACTCTGCGAGGAAGACGAGTCGCCTGTTTTCTTTTTAGGTTTATTGTAATGAAACGACGTCGTTTCAATTGCAGTGTTTAAAAAAATATTCTATATGAAACGACGTCGTTTTACTTGGAGTGTTTTGATAATTAAAACAGAGATTTTCTATTTAAACCCCACACTTCTCTTAGTTCACCCCAACTTTTAATTTAAATGTTCACAATTTCTAAGTAAACCCCATTATCTTCCCAAACTACCCTCAAATACACTCCAAGCTGAAAAAATAAGAAATAAAAGAGATTTTTTATTTAAACTCCACAAGCTACCTTTAGAGGAGAAAATAAGGTTTTTTGTTTTTTGTTTTTTTGGTGGGTTTGGGGTTGTATGAGTTAGGAAAGAGGGGTTGCTCGGTGTTTAAAAGTTGAAGACATGGAAAATTGGTTTTCCAAGGGGGAAAAGCTTATTACTTGTGTTGCTTGTGTCACTAATATTTTCTGATGATTATATATGTTTAAAAAAAAGCAATCAACAAAAGGAAGAGAATAAGATCATTATAGCGAAACAATCAACAAGTCTTTTCATAAGCTTTCACACAGATTTCAAAGTGGTAGGCTCGTCAATGTTCAACGTCTTTAAAAGAGAAAAGTAATTTGGCATATGTAGAAGAGTTTGTATTTTTTTTAAACTTAATTTGAAGAGTTGTGGGGTGTGTGGGGTGTGTGTATAGATGTATTAGGGTTAAGTATTAAGTTGGATGACCTTTTTTGTCTTTTTACACAATAATAAAATTTACAGCTTAATGATTTAAGTATTGGAGTGAACTAAGAGAAGTGTGGTGTTTAAATAGAAAAAATCTTTTAAAAAAAAGCAAGTTTCGGTTTTTCTTATTTACCTTTATTGTAATAAACTTAAGGCAAGAAGAATTAATATCTTTATTGCATTTTCTAAATCCAGCCGACTGCATATAAAGCAAAAGACAGAAAATGGTGAAACATTCAAAATACCAAAAAATGTTATTAATTAATTCAAACATTAAGAATTGAAATTATTAATTAAATGAGGATAATATGGTAAA